CATTATCAACACGACACCTACAGCCTTTCCTGTGTGCAGTGACTTGCGAATCTTTTGAGCTTTTTGAAAATCCTGTGTTCCACACAGAATGACACATGACATCCTGTTGGCTTTTTGGGTGCAAGTAAATAAATACCCTCGTAGGATAACAAATACAACAAGAAAGAATAGAGGGGCTGGAAGACATTCATTTGTCCACTCATTCAGTCACTCAACGTCACATCTACTTTGTTCCAGGTACTATTTCAGGCACTGGGAATATGTGGTGAATAAGACAAAGTCCCTGCTTTCATGATACCACATTGTTTTGTTTTATATTTTTATGCCCCCCCGCCTGAGGGTACTGGGATTTAAACCCAGGTCCTCCCACATGCTAGCCAAGTACTCTACCACCAAGCTACACCCCATCTCTGAAGTCACAGGTGTTTTTCTTTCTTTTTTTTTTTTTTTTTAAATGGGGATTAAACCCAGGGGCACTTCGCTACTGAATTACATCCCCAATCCTTTTAATTTTTTATTTTGAGACAGGGTCTCACTGAGTTGCTGAGTTGGCCTTGAACTTTTGGTCCTCCTGGCTCATCTTCCCAAGTTGCTGGAATTACAGGCTTGAATCTGGCTACATTGTTTTTGAAGGCGAACAGTATAATGCAATTTCAGGTAGTGAAAGTAGAGTGACAGGATGGAGAGTAAAATGCTTCAGGTTAGGAGGTCAGAAAGACCCCTCTGAAATAACCAGGAACTGGAATATTGAGGACCTGGAATAATGAGAAGGAGTAAGTCAGGCACTATATGAGGAAGAGCATGCCAGACGGAGGGGACAGCAAGTGCAAAGGCACAGAGGTGAAATCTTGGTGTGTCTGGGAATAGCAAGGAGGACATCATACCATACATATGGTCCAGCTATGTCCTGTTCTTCCCTAGCCTCCGCCTGTAGGGGAGCAAGTTACTTAGGGTCGAGAACCCACATTTAGCGAGCTGATCCAACTCAATCTCCTTTCTGCTCCTTTGTTTGAAGTAGTTGCGTTTTCTTCAAGTATGTTTTGAGATCTGGGAGGGCAAGGATGATAAGTTTTCAAGGGCTAGGACACAAAGTCTGAAGCACAGAATCCAAGGAGACAGGCAGAGTGGAAGCAAAGGGACCAAGAGGGCAGAGGACCATGAAGCTAAAGTGGTCCCAAACAGCATAGGATCAAAGTTGTCCTGAGGGCTGAGCTAAAGACAGAGTGCAGATTTTGCCATCTTTCCAAACAGAAGCTGCCAAGAGATACAAATTCCACGTAGGGTGAGGGGTGTTAAAAAAAGAGATATGTGGCCAGGGATTGCAATGTTTTTGGGCTGTGGGTATGTGTGTGTTGTTTTTTTTCGTTTGTTTTTGTTATACTGGGGATTGAGCCTAAGGGCTAAAACTGAAGTACATTCCTAGCTCCTTTTTATTTTTTAATTTTGAAACAGAGTCTTGTAAGTTACCCAAGTGGCCTTGAACTTGAATTCTCTTGCCTCAGCCTCCTGAGCTGCTGGGGTTATAGGCATGTGCCCATCTTGCGGTGGGACTTTTTTGTTGTTGTTATTGTTTGTTTGTTTGTTTGTTTGTTTGGTACCAGGGACTGAATCCAGGGGTGCTTAACCAATGAGCCACATCCCCGACCTTTTTTAAAAATTTTTGATTTTTGAGACAAGGTATTGCTAAGTTGTTAAGGGTCTCGCTAAGTTGCTGAGGCTGACTTTAAACTTGCTATATTCCTGCCTCTCCTGAGCCACTGGAATTATAGACGTGTGCTAACCTGTCGGCACAGTGGAACTTTTTGATGGGGAATGGTTGATATCACATCTGGAATTTTAGTTTAGAATGAAAAAGATATATAGAGAGAGCTTCCTACAGGGCTATGTAGACAGCCATGGACATAGGGATCCCTCTTATTGGATGATTTTTGAGGTCTGTAGGCAGGCCAGGAGAAGTACTGCATGGTGGTTTGGAGGCAGGGGGCTGGCTGGCATGGGCTCAGAGAATTGGGTGGGGACAAGAAAAAAGGATTCAAAATGAATGGCAATAACAACAGGGCATGGAGAGTGATGTTTGGAAGGTGGCAGGAAAGGCAGAGTCCTGGAGGGATTTTGGAAGGGACCAGTTCCAGGTACTTCGGATTATCACAGGGAATTAAAGTAGCTGTTGATTTCCAGGTTCTCCCTCTTACCCCCTGTTGCCATCAGAAACTCAGGCATCAGCTCCCCGCAAACCCAGTAGCTGGTGGTGGTAGGGAACTGAGCAGCCTCAGGGGGCGGCAGCTGGTGAGTGGGGAGGAATCTGTGTGCTCAGCAAACAGCAGCCTCAGTGCCCAGTGGCTGCCTCCTCCCTCATCAATCAGCCCCAGCCAAATGTCCTTGCATTCCCACCACCCCAAGGGGACTGGGGCTGGGCCAGGGTCCCCAGGGGAGAGAGATGAGGTGGGGGGGACGGTAGGGGTGGTGCTTGGCTTTCCATCCCTTGGCCTCTGTTCTCTTCTCTCTGGAAGCTCTTAGTTCTTCATGTCATGGAATGACAGTCCTGGCCCCTGCCATCCTGGGGGCATCAGCTACAAATCACCTGTGGGGGGCTGCTGGGAGAGAAAGGGAAAAGAGGGATGAGTCAGGGTTGCAGAGGAATCCACTTTAGTTCTCACGGGACCAGCCCAGAGCACAGTCAGCAGGGAGGCTGTTGGCACAGAGGCCCTGTCCCCACCCACTGCCTGGCCTCTCCATCCTGATGGATGCTCTGGACGGAGACCCTGACCCTTTGAATGTCCTCTCTTCCCACCTTCTCCTAGCCCCCAGCCCTCATGTCCTGCTTCCTGCCAAGATCTGGAAGTCTGGCACCCCAGCTGACCCTAAATCTGATGCTCCCCATTGATCCTCTAGATTTTAGCCTATGGCTCCCTCTCCCTCTTCTCAGCCCTTGCTCCCCTCAGGGACCCAGGCGCCCTGCCCACTCTCTTCCATAACAACCATTCTTTTTGGAGTTGCTTAAGACTTTAATATCATTTCATTAAGTCAGTAAGTTTAGAGAAGGTTGGGGGCACAAAGAGATTGGGGATGGGCCAGAGAAGGCCAAGGTAGGGGGGAAGAAGGGAAGACTTCTCCCAATCCCCTCTCCGTGGAGATGGCTCTGAGAAATCAAATATTGACAGTGAGAGAACAGAACTTATTAAATGTGGGACAGGGGAGTGTGAGGGAGCTGTGGGAATGGCCGGATGCCTGAGTTCTGAGGGTTATGAAGGTTCCAGGCAGCCTGTGGCTGGAAGGATATATAAGGATAAGGGACTTGAGAGTACAACTGTTCTATCCCTTTCCTTTGGGATGTGCTATCTTGCTACCCTGACTGTTTCTCAGCTGTCCCCAGTATCCCCTGGGCACAAGACCCCCATCACAGCTGTGGCTGCCCCCCTTCATCTCTTCCCCCTACCTCCACCTCTGTTGATGAGCTTCAGCAGCGTTTAATCGGATTGAGCAGTAATTAGCAAAGCGAGATGTTTGATTACCTATTTAGCATAATGTGGGGGGCTGGGATCCCTAGGCACAGCCACAGTTGAGAGGGAAGTCAGAAAAGAAATGGGGTCTACGCAAAGTTCTTTTCCCTGAGGGACTCATGAACCTGCCCTTGAGGTTCCTCACCTCATGCCTCCCCTCAAATTTTTACTCCTTTGGGGCTTTTCCCTGGGGGTTCTGACCAATCACATCAGCTCTCTCTGCCATCTGGCTGGAAGATCACTTACATGTCCCATCTTTGCCCTGCATGCCCTGTAGCTGGTTTTGGGGTGTGGCAGGAACTTTCTTTCCTTCAATCCCTGATGTCAGCAACAAGAGTCTGGGCTGTGTTGGAGGCCTTAAAATTGGAGCCCAGAAATCTACCTTAAAGATAATGGTAGTGACAGAGATGGGACAAGGGCAGGAGCTATAGATTCTGGAAATAAAGATGGAGGGTAGTGGGGATGGTGAGGTCAGGGTGTGGATTAATCCACCCGCCTGTCAGTAGTAACAAATCGGCATAATGAGACCTGTCAGGTGTGAACACCCATCAGAAAAACGGGGAACTGAGGTGCCAGCTTCTCTCCTCATCCAGCAAAGAAAATGTCATCAATTTAGCTCCTCATGGAAATGTAATCAGTGGGCTCGCTGCTGGCTTTGTCTTAATTAGGCACTATTGATGGAAGCAGGGAGAGCACCTCCCCAACCCTCTGATTCTGCTTCCTCCCTGTGTTTCCCACGTCTCCCCAAAGCTTCTCCGGGGCCCAGGTATAGCTCGGTCTTCTAGGCGCCTTCAAGCGGCCCCAGCCCACAGCGCCCCCTAGCATCCTTTGGGGTCTGCCCCTCTTCTACAACCCCTTCCTCTCGCTTCCCCAGGACGCAGCCTTTGTTCCTATGGAGAGCAAAGCCCCTCCTCGGCCCGGTCACCTTCCCCAGGGAGTCCCCGCCTCCAGTCTCCCCCGCCCCACCTCCCCCCCCCAAAAAAAACCCCATGTTTTGCAAAGCCAATCCTCCTATTTCAAAAATTCCAGTTCCAGTCTTCCTTCTCTTTCCCCGCCCGCGACACCCAGGAATCCTAGATCCCAGTCCGGACTAAGAAGGGGGAACGCGCTGGAGGGCAGGGGTGCTCCAGCCCCGGTTTTTCTCCCGGACCCAGCTGCAGCCACGGCTGCCTGGAAATCCTGGAGCACCTTTTAGATGGCGAAAGAGCCTTGCAGGCGGGACTCCGGGCGCCATCTGCTGGACCCGTTTGGGCTGTAGCCCACACACCTGGGAGCGGGGTTCGGGCACTTGGGTTCCCTAGTCTTTTCAAGGTCCTGAGGGACCACAGCGCATTGTTTCCAGTCACCGTCTTTCCAACTTGGTCCTCACACACGGCCCCCATACCTTCCAGCCCTCCGGATTTAGTTGCTTTCCCCTAGTCCCTCCAGCCCTTTTGCCCTGGGTCCACGCAGGGTAGACCCGCGCGGGGTGCGGCCGCAGAGCAAGGATCCACGGCGCATGAGCAGGAACTGCGAACCCGCCACTCAGTCCTCTCTGCCAGGGGTTGCCATGGCGACGCGTACAGGCGCGGGCCTCAGAGGGCCGAGCGGGGCAACTTCTTAGCTGGTGTTGGCCCCATCGGTCGGTCTAGGGAGGAGAGGGTCGGCGTCGTGAGGTGTGTGTCAGGTCAGAGGGAAGGAATGCTGGGGAAAAGGGACAGTAGTGAGAGGGTAGGAAGGGACGGTTGTGGCGGGGAAGAGGCAGTTGTGGGAGAGGAAGCAAAGGATAGTTGTTGGGGGAGGGGAGAAGGAGGGGCAGTTGTTGGGGGGGAGGGGAGAGAAATGGGCAGTTGAGGGGAGAGGAAGAAGTAATTGTGGGTGGAGAGGGAGAAGAAGGGATTGATGTGGAAGAAGAGGAACAAGAAGGCGCAATGGTGCCATTGAGGAGGGGACAGTTGTAATAGTTGGCCGGGGAAGCTATTGTGAAGAGAAATTTGCCTCCTGGTAACCAATTTAAGGAGAGGCCATTGAGGTATTTCCCAGTAATAAAGTGAATCCCAAGGCTAGTTTGACAGCGTCTCCTGGGGTCTGAGGTGCAGGTTCTAGGGGTGAGCCCCATAGTGAATGCTCCTGAGGCTTCAGTTTGAAGCAAAGGGCAGTTTGATGCTTCCCTGGAGGCTGGTGGAGAAAGCAGCAGTGGTTTTATTGATTTGTTGGCCTAACAGAACATTTTCCTTGGAGCAAAGTACAATTCCTTCAAGTTTGAAATTCATAACCTATGATCAATGTCTGTGGTAGCCTGTAGGGATGAGGCAGGAAAGCCACAGGTGGCTGTCAGGCTATAGTTGAATGAAGAGGGAATGGCCAGCCAGTCCAACATGGCCCTTGGGATCCCCTCCACCCCACAACTGGGGACTGAACCTGGTACTGCATACATCCTAGGCAAGAGCTCTACTACTGAACTATATCTTAGCCCTTTTTATTTTGAGACAGTGTCTCACTAAGTTGCTGAGGCTGGCCTTGAAGACTTGGCATCCTCCTATCTCATTTTCCCAAGTAGCTGGGATTCATGGCTAGCTGCCCTCAGAGTTCTGCCAGAGGTGCCTCTTTCCTGACATCCTACTTTTCTGAGGCACTACCGGGCCTTCCTCATGCCTTCATTTCCTTTTCCCCTTACACAATTTACAATTCATTATTTGATGGCTTTTGTCCTTCCTTCTTCAGTATGTTCTCAGGGCATTTGGAGTTAAATGATCCTGATCTTACTTATCAACACAGAGTCAGCCAACTGTGCCAAGAAATCTTATTAAACACAAAACAGGATTCCTGCCCCTCAGCAATTAAAAAGCTAAAAAGATGAGTGGCAAATACTACTCTTCTTTGTTTAAGGCTGTTGTAGATTTTAATGTGGATAACAGGAACATTTTTCCATTTAACTGAGGTGGTACATAGGAAAACCATTTAGTTTGCTACATTAACATGTTGACAAAAGGCAGGGTACTTGGGGACAGTCTTCCCTTCTGTGAGTGGTCTTTCACTCACCCAAGGTTCTATACAACAGCTTGGTAGATTGTTTTAAATTTTGGTACCAGGGATTGAGTGGCTTAACCACTGAGCCACATCCCCAGCCCTTTTTTACATTTTATTTATAGACAGGGTCTCACTGTGTTGCTTAATGCCTAGCTAAATTGCTGAGGCTCTCTTTTAATCTGCGATCCTCCTGCCTCAACCTCCCAAACCACTGGGATTACAGGCATGTGCCACTACACCCAGCCCTTGATAGATCTTTTCTGGATTATCCTACATTCATATATTCTCTTTGTCCCAGGGCTGACACAGGGATTCCCAAATCCTCATTAATGGGGTGTTTGTTATCTTTTTTTTTTTTTGCTATTGGGGATTGAACTCAGGGGCACTGAACCACATCCCCACCCCTATTTTGTTTTGTTTTTATTTTTATTTTTTAAAGAGAGAGTGAGAGAGGAGAGAGAGAGAGAGAGAATTTTTAATATTTATTTAGTTTTTTTAGTTCTCGGCGGACACAACATCTTTGTTTGTATGTGGTGCTGAGGATCGAACCCAGGCCGCATGAATGCCAGGCGAGCGTGCTACCGCTTGAGCCACATCCCCAGGCCCCCACCCCTATTTTGTATTTTCTTTAGAGACAGGGTCTCACTGAGTTGCTTAGCACCTCGATTTTGCTGAGGCTGGCTTTGAACTTGCAATCTTCCTGCCTCAGCCTCCTGAGCCACTGGGATTACAGGCATGCACCACCACACCCCATGTGTCTGTTATCTTTATTATTTATTTATTTTTGAGATTCTCTCATGATCTGTGCTTTTTGTTAACTTCTTAGTCTTAGAACCAACCTTTTCATTTATCAATATCCCATCATTTTAAGCTATCTTAGATATAGTATTCCTGTTTATATGTATCAGAATTCATACTGAACAATGAGTTCTGGATTGCAAAAGGGGATTTATTTTTTGCACTTGTCTACTGTTATCTTTCAACTCTAGTTATTACTAATATCTTGAGAGACTAACTTTGATTTTTTTCTTTCTTTTTGTACTGGGGATTGAATTCAGGAGCACTCTGCCCCTGAGCTATATCTCCATATATCCCCAGACCTTTTTATTTTGAGACAGGATCTCACTAAATTGCCTAGGGTGGCCTCAAACTTGGGATCCTCCTGCCTCAGCCTCCTGAGTCGCTGGGATTATAGGCATGCTGTCACATCCAGCCTGACTTGGACTTTAACCAAATGCTGTACAGAAAGTAGGGTATCCTAGGGAAAAAAGCAAGGACCCCAAGGCTCCTGTGTTATTTACTTTTGCAGTGCTTGAGATTGAACATGCTAAGCTCTACCACCTAGCTACACCCCTAGTCTCCATGGCCCCATAGAGTCCAGGTCTGTTGTTGAGGAGCGGGGTAGAGGGGTACCCAGAATAGATGATTCTATTGGGGGATCTCTTTCAATTTGTGAATCCAAAAGGGTCTGTGTGTATCAGGGATCTGGTTTTGGGGTGAGATCTGGTGGTGGACTCTCCATTCCATGTATCTCTAGGTTTTGCCTGAACCATGTCCAGCAAAGCTGATAAGAAGCGGAGAGTGGGTGGCCGGGGAGGCACCCGGGGAGGCACCCGAGGAGGCGCCCGGGGAGGTGCCCGAGGAGGTGCCCGAGGAGGTGCCCGAGGAGGCGCCAGAGGAGGCCCCCGGGGAGGCCCGGCAAGTCGAGTTTCTCAGGCTGCTCTGGCTGCACGGGATGCAGAGAATGACCAGGCCACCACTCGACCAGAATCTGAACCTGAGCCTGTGCCACTCAAGGAGGAGCCTGGTAGGTACTTGATAAGGAAGGGGATTCTTAGATATGGAGGGTAGGAGAAAATTGGAGGGGCTTGAAGGTAGAATGTTTGTATTTCCTGAGTGTCTTAGGGCTGAGGAGCAGGTACTCTCGCTTCTGTGTCTCTCCTCACTCTTGTCCGGGCATGAGGATTTAGCAGAACCTCAGGCCTTCTGCGGGGACCCTTTTCTGTGCTTCTTCTTCCTGCTCAGCCTTATTCTTTCTGTCTTGAAATTTCCCACCAATGCACCAGGAGTCCATCAGCCAATCCTTTCTCTAGCCTTTTCCTCCTTATTTCAACTGTTCCTGGTTGTTCCCACTTCACTGCAGAGGGTTTGATCTCTTCCTTTTTCCCATTTTCACCCTGGGTGGCAAAACAAATAATGTTTTTCTCCCATTAAGCCCATCACCATGGAGACTCAGCCTGCTTTGCCACCCTTTGAATCCTAAGCCCGGCTGATGCTTTCTACCATCTGTTGAAGGCTTCTGTATCTCCGCCCTCATTTTGGCAGGGACTTGGTAGACTGTGGAGGTTCAGGTTCAGGGCGACAGGAAAAGAAATCTAGATGGAGGGGGCAAAGAGTTTAAAGAGGCTGCCTCTGTGGCTTTGATCCAGGAACCAGCAGGTTTGGAAGCTTTTGGTAGCCGTTACTGTCACTGGGCTTTTGCTTAGAGCACTGGCCAGCATAGATAGGACTGAGCTAAGTATAGACTGGGGCTTCTTGACACCGCTAATAACCTAAAAAGATGGAGAAAAATAGTATCTTTGCTGCCCCACTGTTTTTTTGTTTTGTTTTGATTTGTTTTTGCAGTGCTAGGGATCAGACCCAGGGCCTTGTGCTGCTAGGCAGGTGTTCTACCACTGAGCTACATTCCCAGTTAGAATACCCTTTTAATATTAATGGCTAAGAGAATAAGGGTGGATGTGAGAGAAAGGTCCAGAGACATAGGGACCTGACCTAGGCTCCAGGACCTTAGAAATGTGTAGCATTTTTTCTTCTGAGTTCTTAAGTGCTTATCTGAAAGCAGTTTAAAATGAATCTGGGTACCCATAGTAGAGGGAGGTTGGAGAGAACTTAAGGAGGTTCAGTTGTGTTGGGAGAATCTGCTGGGGAGCAAAGGGAAGGGAGGCGCTTCCAAAGAAACTCATTGGCCTCCAGACATCAAGGATCTCTCTCACCATAGCCCTAAGCTTCCTTATTGTTTGATATGGAGCCTTCCAGCTGCCCAGCAACCCGGGTAGAGGTTCAGAGAGGACTTGGGCCTCCCAGGCAGCCCTGAAACCAAGATTAATCCCTTTAATGGGACTGAGGCCTATTTACTGGAGAAAGAGGGGGCCTAAAATATTTCTTGGTGGAAGATTGTGGGTTCAAGAGTAGAGAGCCTTTTTTTGTTTTGTTTTTCAGAGCTGGGGATGAAAGAAGGCTTCTCATACATTGTTAGGCAAGCACTGCACCACTGAGCTATACCCACAACCCCTGGTCAGCTTTCTAAATTACATTCAGAGATAATTCACTTACTATAACATTCAACTTTTTTTTTTTTTTTAAA